TCCTGAGTGTACAGATCCCTTGATCATTAAGAAATGTCTCATATCTGCCACACAGGCGGGGGGTGTGTAGGTGGGAGGGGGGTATATTGGGGTTCTTGGTGGCGGAAAATGTGTACTGGTGAAGGGACGGGTGTTTGATCATTGTATGACTGACCGAGACTTAAACTGAAAGGCTTTGCTATTGTTCTCATGGTGATTCAATAAATAAAATTTAAAAAAAAAAGAAATGTCTCATACCCTTCTTCAATCTGAAGTCTATGTATGGCCACCCTAGCTTTTTCTTGAGAGAATTGTTTGCTTGTAGAATTGTTTTCCAACCTTTGACTTTGAATCTATGTTCTGACTGTTCAGATGTGTTTCTTGCAGCAGCAAGCTGTTGGGTTCAATTTTCTGATCCATTCTGTCACCCTGTGTCTCTTAGTTGGTGTGTTTAATCGATTCACATTGAAAGATATTATTGTTATGAGGGTTGTCCCATTTTCTGCAGGAGTTTTTGTGTGTTTGAGGGGCTTTTCTTGTCTTAAAGTAGCCTATTAATTTTTCCTGTGACCATGATTTTGAGTCTATGAAATTCCTGAGTTGTTTTTCTGTGAAGCTGTGCATTGTTCCCTCAAGTATGAATAACAGTCTAGCTTGGTAAAGTGTTCTTGGTCACAGTCATGGTCCTCCTGTTGTTCATCGATTTGCTCGAGTGGGCCCAGTAACGTCTCCATTATGAGACTTGTTGTTACTGTGCTTGGCATATCAAGTACGTCACGGGCAGCTTGCCAGGCTCGTGTGGGCAAGATACTCTCGGTAGCTTGCCGGGCTCTCCAAGAGGTGCGGAGGAATCGAACTCGGGTCGACCATGTTGGCTGTGTGCAAGGCAAACGCCCTACCACTGTGCTATCGCTCCAGCCCTTGGTGAGGAATTAATTTCTTTAGTTTTTTGCTATATTCTCCCACTGTTTCTGGGCCCAGAGAATTTTGTCAGATAAATCTGCTGTAAATATTAAGGCTGCTCCTTTATAAGCAGTTTCCTTCTTGCAGTTTCAGTATGCTATCTCTATCTGTAGTTTTCGTCATTCTGATTAGGATGTGTCTTGGAGTATTTTAATTTGGATTTATTTTATCTGGTATCCTTTGGGCCTCCTGAACCTGGGTAAATGCGTTCTTCAGCTCTGGGAACATCTTAATAATGATTTTGACAGTTGCTCTTCATCAGGGTTTTCTGTCTGTTGGGAATCCAATTATTCCAGTGTAATTCTTCTTGATTTCATCCCAGTTTTCTCTTGACATCTGTTGGTTTATTTTGAGACTCTTTTTTATCTTCTGCTGTTGTCAGGAGATTCTCTGCACTTCATCTTGGAGCCCACTGATTCTGTCCTCAGCAGTTGTTACTCTGCTGCTGAGACCTTCCAGAATTTTTCATTTCACCTGCTAAGTTTTTCAGGTCTGTCATTTCTGCTTATGTTGTTGTGTGGTTAGTGGCCTGCAGTTAGTATGTCTTTGTATGTTACAGTGAGTTATGGAGAGGTGAAGAAATGTGAGACTGGGTTCACTAGTACCTCTAATATAGGATTTAGATGAAGTAACTTTGAGCGAACATGCTAGTATTTGTGTGGTTCTGGGGTTAGAGAATTTAGAGGGATACCACGAGGGGTAGTTCTGGGGGTGACAGGCTGAGGCTCCAGGCTTCACTTTGTGTGGGGGCCAGACTTCAGGCGGGAGGAGCGTGAAAAGCCCACCATGGTCCACACACCCAAGTTTAAGAAGTTATATCAATGGGTTGGGGTCCTGGCAGAGGAGACAAATCTGGGGTGAAATGCTGAAGGGCCAGGCTTCCCTTTGGGTGGGGGCTAGACTTTAGGCAGGGAAAGGGAGATGAGCCCCTGTGTCCCCTGAAATTTGTATATTTGATGGGATTATTAGGTACTGGCATTACGTGTTTTAGTTTTTAACTCCTTAACTAAAGCGTTTCATTTACTACTTTTTCTTGACAGAGTGGAGAGGAAGAAAGATGATTTCATTACCCACAAATAATACGGGGGCTGGAGAGAAAGTACAATGGATAAGGCACTTGTCATGAATGTGGCTAACATGAGTTCAATCCTTGGCACCCCGTGTGGTCCCCCAAACCTCACATGGACTGATCCCTTACCAGACAGAACCAAAAGTCTGCCTTAAACACTGTCAGGTGTGGCCCCCAAACACACACACACACACACACACACACACACACACACACACACAGAGAATAAATGTCATTCAAATAGGAAGAACACGTATGGTTCTATTTGCTGTCCTACTCCTTTTTCTTTTATTTTGAAGGTGATGTATTTAAAATCTTAAACTACCTCTAGAGATACTATAAAAAGACAGGGCCTAGATCATTTGCGTTTGGTTGGGAACACAGATTGGGGGAGTAAGCTTCTAAGGCATCTCTCTTCACTTTGTTGGCTGCTTTTCTCCCTGCCTTGTGCTGACAGTGCCCTGGGCACAGCTGGGCACAGCTCGGCCTCAGCCTGTGGCTGAGTGAGTAACTCACTCCCACATAAGCTGGCTCTGGCTGGCTCTGCCTTGAATTGCCCTATTATTCTGTTTGGTTGGCTGGATGATGTATTCTCTTGAGAAATTGTATCAAGGCAAAAACTGAATCACATGGAGTATTTAGAACAAGTAAATTGACTTAAAATGGCATTTTTTCTTTAAAAGGTATCTAAATGTAGGGAGAATGTACAATATTGAAACAAAGATGATGATTAGAGCAGTTTTAGTCCTGACAGTTTCACTCTCCCATACTCATCACTGAAAAAAAAAATCCCCTTTCTTCAGATTGCCCCTCAGAATCAATATTTTCCCATTTCAATTCTTCATATATATTGAAACATAGCATACATAGCACTTTTGTTTTTATGTTAAAATTCATCATTTTCAGGGATTTTTTAGGTCATAATATTCCATTTGATTATGTTATGAGGCATTTATCCTCTTGTAGAGGTTTTTTCAAGTTTCAGAAAAGTTTTGATTAATGACACAGAATTCATCATCTAATGCATTTCTAAGTTTTACTTATGTTTTGGACATTCAGAACCCACTTTCAAGACTTTTTTCTTGCAAAATTGCAACTCTGTGCCCATTAAGCAGCTCAGCTTACAGCAGCTTCACACACACCTTCACCTGTGCTTTGGCTGTTATTTCTTGGTTCCTATGTGAGTGTGTGAAATGAATCAGTGCTTCTTCCTTTCCTCTTCCAGCATTGGTTTTGGCATTTCACCCTTATGCTCCTTGGGAACATTTCTAGTCTCCCAACTAAGTAGACTTTTTGATTAAGCAGGTATCAGAAAGTAAAGTACGTTCAGTTAAGTAAAGTACGAACATAAAGTACCTGGCAGGGGAGATACCGTGATCATACCAACTAAGCAGGCTGAAACTGATTAAGCATATGTTGGACTGGAGGGAGAGTCCAAGGATTAAGGCCTTTGCTGTGCATGTGGTGGACCCCATGTAGATGCCAGGATCATGTGATCCCCCAAGCATCATTGAATGCAACTTTGGAGGCCCCTAAGCATCTTTGGGGGCAGTGGTCAGTCCCAACACCAACGGCCCAAGCAGCACTGTTTTGGCATGCTTCCCATGGAGCTATCAGGCTTAGTTGCAGGAGAGATACTATGATCATAAAGTATGTTGGGTTGAAAACCCCAAGTGAAATTGACAAATGCAGTTTACTGGACACCTGGTCCCTTGCAGCAGGAGGAGAAGGCTGCTTCTGGATCAGGGACCCCCTGGGATGGGGCCTACAGAGAGGGCGGCACGGAAGAAACAAGTTTCCATCAGGCTGGTTTTTCACTTCAATTGCAAGATGGGATATGAAGTACCCTGGGTGCCATGAATAATTGATAGTTGTGGCTCTCAGAAGCCTAATTTTAGTCAGGTCCAAGAAGCCGATGTAGCAGCATCAGGCCCTAGTTTCAGCTTCTTCCATTTCTCAAATGACAAAGTGGTTAGTATATAAGCAAAGAAAGTGGGGAAAGGGAGCCACCATAGAGATCAGTGCTCGCTTGGACTGTCTGTTGCTGAGAGGCAGAGTTCTGTCCTTCCTTCCCTGACTCGCATTCCTGGGAACCTGCTGTTTCTGAGGAGGGATGAGGAGGGATGGGGTCAGAACTGCATCATGGACACTGGCTGAGGCACAGTGTACTGATGTAGTACACTGGCCCTGAGCACCCTGGGATGGGGGTCTACAGTGTGTCCACATGTAGTGGAAGTTACTGTGTGCCACCAGGGGAGGGGTGGCAGTGACTGCACGAGGTGCCCCTGGTGAGAAGTGCTGCGAACCTGTCACAGGGATGCGTGTGAGGTTTGAATGTCCTATTGGGGGGGTGAGGGCAGTCAGCTTGGGTCTGCTGTAGAGTTGTGTGTGTTTCCAAATATTGGATCTAAGTAGATGAACATTTACGGGTCTGCATAGTGCAGTGGGTAGGGCACTTGCCTTATCCACATAGTACAAGTTAGCGGTTTATATTTGTACCAATTGTGAATCTCAAATAGTCTCATTCTTTAAATTGAATTGGTATGATTTGGCTTATACATAAATCAAATCATCATATTAATATGTGGGAATGGTTAAGGGTCTGTGGATGGGATAAGTGAGTTTAAGTCAGTGGTAAAAACCCTTTGACTACCTTTAAAAATACTTTGTGCAAAGTTTTGAAAATGTTTTGCATTTTAGAATATAAATCATTTTCTTTTGACCATATGTTTGCAGTTATCAGTTTGGTTTACTAAGATTGTCTGTCTCTATTATACTTGACTATAATATTTGCTTTGCTTTAGAGTCATGCAAATTCTGTTTCTGCACACAAATCTGTGAACTCCTCATCTCTTAACTTTTTTCTTCAGATAATTTACTTAAAGAAGTTAATGAAACCTCTTTGTATTAGGAACATAGAGTAATCGTGATCTATGAAAGGAATTTAATACAGAAATTTTCAATAAAAATAATTTATTTTTTTTAACAGAAATCACAGTCCACTAATGAGTTTTGGAGCCAGCTTTGTCAGTTTTTTGGTAAGTTGATATGGGGAGTGATATTGGGATGAAAGAAACATGATAAAATGTTTTTCAGTGGTTACTGGCAGTTAAATAAGCATCTGAAGAAATCCCTTAGAACTAAACCCCTCAGTTTAGAACTGGAATTAAGTTTTTGCCTGCTAACAAATGCCATTTTTTAAAAAGCCTTTACTTCCAAAATAATATATTTTTACATTCAAAATATTTTTCAAAATAAGTGTGCAATTGAAAGATCTTTCCCAAATAAAAATGTGTTGAAGAAAAACAATTAAAGCAAACAGGTCAGACTTTGAAATAATAGAAATTTGCTTAAAAAATAAATTAGACGTAAAGTTTGCTAGCATTACATTTTCAAGTGTTGAGATTTAGGAATTGAGGAAAGAGTTTGCAGTTAGATTTTAAAGTAAATCGGGCCCTGTAGAAAATGAAATACTTTCATTTTTTTCAGAAACAGATTTCAGGGCTGAAATGATAGTACATCAGGTAGGGAGCTTATTTTCCACGTGGCTGACCTGGGTTCGATCCCTGGCATCCTATAGGATCCCCCAAGCCCACCAGTTGTGATCTCGGAGCACAGAGCCAGGAGTAAGCCTTGAGCACCTCTGAGTGTGGCCCCAAAACAGAAAAAGCACCTTATAAGCTACTTTCGAGCATACAAATTTAAAAAAACAAAAACTACCATAAGAAAAAAGAAATCTTAGGGTTTTTTTTTTTTGGCATTTTGGGTTGCACCTAGTGATGTTCAGGGGTCACTCCTGGCTCTAACTACCATAAGAAAAAAAAATCTTAGTGTTTTTTTTGGGGGGCATTTTGGGTCGCACCCAGCGATGTTCAGGGGTCACTCCTGGCCCTGCACTCAGGAATTACCCGTGGTGGTGCTCAGGGGACCATATGGGATGTTGGGAATTGAATCCGGGTCAGCCGCGTGCAAGGCAAACGCCCTACCCTCTGTACTATCGTTCCAGCCCCAAGAAAAAAATCGTAGGTGCCACAGGTTGAACCCCAGGCCTGGCACATTGGAGGCAGGCACTCTACCACAGGGCCATAACCATTACCCTATCAGAGAGATGTTAGCAACAGCAAATGTTCTGAATAGAACTTGAGAGGTATACAATGAATGTAGATTTATGAGGGTGATAGTAAGTGGCTGGGCTGTGGTGGGCTGTGGGCAGCCTGGCAGAGTCCACCCCAAGCTCCACCAGCTTCTGTGACATAGATTTTTGTTTGAGCTAATGATTTCTGCTTACTGTCAGGTAATAAAACAATAGTTTGATTTGAGGAACGTGGTCCTGGGTGAGACCATCAGTGAGTGCTTAGCTGGATGCGGGCTTCAGGGGTTGGAAGCTGTGTCAGGGCTGAGATTTGGGTGGGAAGGAAGACTTGGGCAACGGAGACTGGCTGGTTTGGCTAGAGTGAAAGGTAGGTTAGAAATCCCTTAGAGCTTAGAACTAGAATCAAGTTGAGGTGGCCCAGAATGCCCTGGAGGGCCGGGTGCAACTGTAGTGGGTGGCAGGTAGGTCCAGTGAGCTGTGCACCTGGAGTACTTTCAGCTCAGAAACCTGAGGAGTAAAAGTAGGTTTGCAGCAGGTGTTGGCAGATTGTCCTTATCCTGACAGATGTAGCCTCCTAAGACCTACTAGGTTCAGGTACCTGAAAATAAGTTGATTGTGGATTTTTTTTTCACTTTGGAAAATATAATATTAGTTTCATGTAAGTGACCCTTTAGAATGTTCATTGGTCCCTGAAAAACACCAGTGCCTTTTTGGTGAGGGAGTGGGAAGAGGGCTCGCCTGGCAGTGCTGGCTCTGCGCTGGCTCCTGGCTAAGCTCTGGGGTTCATATTCCATACCTGGAATCAAACCAACTGAGCACAAGGCAAGCACCTTATCCACTGCACTGTCTCTTGGCCCAAAGCACAGTGCTTTTTATAGAGATACTGGAAACTGTTGCTTCACTAGTGTTTCTGGGTAGTATTTGATAAATTCACTCATCAATTTGGATAGAATACACTTTTTTTTGGTCATAATCCAACAATGTTCAGGGCTTACTCCTGGCTCTGTGTTCAAGGTTAACTCCTGGCAGGGCTCAGGGGACCATATGGGATGCTGGGAACTGCCGGATGCAAGGCAAGTGCTCTACCTGCTATCCTAGCTTTCCAGCATCCAGAAAAATGAATAAAATTTTCAGCATCTTATACAAACTGAATAAGGGGGACCATTTAAATTATACAAGGTTTTTGTTACTGTATGTAATAACACGCAAAAAAATCACAGAACAGTAATCTCAGGGACATTTATTAACAATATATTTTCATGCTGGTGTATTAGAGATACATTCCTATTTCATATCAAAATTGTAGGGTTTTTTTAAAATGATATGGGTATGCTGTAACATTTTGAAATATTTACCTGGAACAAATCATAGTATTTTTTTCCTACTTTGCAGACTTTTTGTAATAAGTAGGCTTGAATTTTTAAGCTCTGATGGATTCATTCACTTTTTTTTCTTGCAAGAATGCCATGATGACGTTTGAGGAAGAAAAAATGCAGCTGGCATGTGATGATTTAAAAACGACAGAAAAGCTGTGTGAAAGTGAAGAGGCAGGAGTAATTGAAACAATCAAGAATAAAATTAAAAAGAATGTGAGTATTGTGTCATTAGGTTTTGAATTGTGTGACACTTAACATCCTTAGAACTTTTCTCCTGCTCTTGGTTCTCCTTTTGTTTTTCTTTGGGGGCCACACCCAGCTGTGCGCAGGCCTTGCCTTTGGCTTTGTTCTCAGGGCTCATTTCTGGAGGGGCTTGGGGGACCATATGGGGTGCAAGAGAATGAACCCAAATCAGCCGCTTAGAAGGCAAGTCCTCAACCCTTAGAATATGATAGAAAACACTAAATGTTTCACACAGTTTTTGAGCACCTGAAACATTTATTTCTTAAAACAGCTCCCCCACCCCCAACCGCCACACACATTTTCACTGTCTCTGTGTCTCTGTCTCTGTCTCTCTCTCTCTCTCTCTCCCGCCTCTCCCCCCACTTCTTTTGTCTTTAGAGACATTTAGAATAAAGGAGGCAGGGAGAGGAGGATTGGTATCTGAGAATTATCTTCCAAGATGGAATTTGACATGGCATGTGACTTTTTTTATGACACTCTCCTCTGAAATTCAGTATATTGTTTTTTGGTCATAATTCAGGAATTTGGCTGTTTTTTTCCAGCTCTCACCAGCCTTTGGGTTATAAATTAAGTACAAATAACTTCATCATTTGCTTTTTTTCTGATTTTTGTTTTCACTTCAAAAGTCTAGGATTCGGGCTGGAGCAATAGCACAGCGGGTAGGGCATTTGCCTTGTACTCGGCCAACGCGGGTTCCATTCCCAGCATCCCATATGGTCCCCCGAGCACCGCCAGGAGTGATTCCTGAGTGCAGAGCCAGTAGTAACCCCTGTGCATCTCCAGGTGTGACCCAAAAAGCAAAAAAAAAAAAAAAAGTCTAGGATTCAGAGAAGCATCCTCCTCCCAATTTTCCCGATATCACATGCATTAACTAATGACCAGATCATGCCAGGTTATTGACATCAAAACTGTGCCCTCCTTTCATAGGCTCCCTCAGGCCTGTCCAGGTTGCTTCCCCTCAGCCATTGCTTAGAGTCCACCTTGTGAAAGCCAGGGATAGGCCAGCAATGCTATTTTCTGGTGCTCCCTGATTATACTCTCCAAACCATCTATTTAAGTGGTGACCAAGTCCTACTGATTCTTTAATCATTAGTCCTCTGTCTCCTGAGTCCAGCGACTTCTTTCCATCCTCGTTGCCATTCCCCAGATCAGCCACCATCCTTATTTGCCTAGGACAGTCTCATGACATTTCTGTCTCTGGTCTCACCTGTGTCCTAATTTCTTCTCTGTAATGTAGACACCAAGATAAGACATCAAGTTATTCCCTTCCTTTTCAGTGTCTCCACCTCCAATCATTGCCATAAAATCCCAAACTATTTCATGAGGCTTAGTTGGCAGTTGTCTTTTCTTTACCTAAGATATTCTTTCTCCTCCTGACCTGATTCTGGTTCATTCTTGAGTTCTTTCTAGATGCGATCTCTTCTGCAGACTCCTGCTTGAACCCCCAGCCTCCGTTGGGTATGTCCTCTAGGTCCTTGGAGTTTGGGGTACTATATCCTTCAGAACACTTAATAATCACATGGTAATAATGTCAGCATCTTCCCCCTTAGATTATAAGCTTGTTTATATGCCTGCCCTCCATATTTAGTACCATATCTAGCATATATGTTAATAATTAACATTCTCAATGGGTCCTTGCAGTTTAAAAAGCATTTTCACATATAATATCTCATTAGCCCTTCTAACCACCTGGCCTAGGTATTATTGTAAAGAAACACAAGCCTCAGTAGACTGAAGTTTACCTAAGCCAACAGAATAATGGCTGCTGGAGATTAGCTCAGGAGCAATAGCAACTGTATTGATCTATGCAAATCTAGAAACACGAAGCCAGTCATTCTATCCTGTGTACTACTGTCATGTTTGCAGAAATTCTGCTACTCTTTACATTTTTTGGGAGAACGTGGGGGATGTTGTTTAACCTATTTTGTTTGGATTTATTTTGTATTAGAAATTCATAGTGGTTTTTATTCATTTAGAATAATTCATTTACAATAAAATTTAACATTTCCCAAAAAAGTGTTTTTGGCTTACTTTTTTTGAGGGGGGGCATACCCAGCAGTGCTCAGGGCTTCTGGCAATTCTCGGGGGACTATATGGAGTGCCAGGTATTGAACCCAGCTCAGCCAGGTACAAGGCAAGTGTCTTAGCTGCTGTACTAGCTCTCCAGCTCCTGATTTTGCTTATGTTATAGAGACTGTCACCATAGAAGTTTTAAAAGAAATTTCAGATTTAAATTGTGATTCATTCAAATCAAATTTTAAATCCCAAGGTATTTTCTCTTTAATTAAACTGTAACTGGTTTCCAACCTTCGTGTCTCAGTTGGGCACCAAAGGATTAGTCTTCCGAGGAATAGAGGGCTGCAAAATGACTTTTGAGATTATCTACTTGGAAGTGGGGTGTATATTTTTCTTTCAGCAATTTTATTTTGTTTTGTGTCAGTAAGAAAAGAAAGGCAGTAAATATCTACAAAGTTTTGTGTTGGCTTTCATGTTTCTCTTGAATCTGGTTTCTGTGAATATTTGCCTTTGAATTGCAGTGTTCGACATTGTATTCGTAACAGAACAAAGGGAATATGCATCTACCTGGTCTGGAGCATCAGTTTGGTCTTAGATTTCAGTAGCTGCCATACTTAACAATTTCTTTGTTACATTTTTCTACACACTAAAGAAGCAATTTGGAAGGAGAGTTGTTTTGGGAGTGATTTACCGGTGTGCACCTTCTTCCCCCACACAGGTGGATGTCCGAAAGTCCACCCCTTCGACTGTGGACCGGCTTCAGAGGCAAATCATCATAGCTGACTGTCAGGTTTACTTGGCTGTGCTCTCATTTGTGAAACAAGAATTGTCAGGTATGCCGAGCATCCTTTCATTGACTGTCCCTGTGCTGTGAGCACGGTTGGTAAAGCTCCTGCATGAATGTGCCTTCTTATCTCAGGCTTTGAAAACATAGGGCTTTTTGGGACGCCTTAGGATTTATTATTTGTAACATTGTAATTACAAATGCTTAGTGTGTGTTTAGTGGAGCAGCATTAGCCCAAAAGTCAGTGTTTTGTCCTCTTATCTCCCAATAATTCTGTCTTAGTGAAATTATCAATGCCTTAGATATTAAATTATCAATAGCTATCTACAGAGAGATTTAATACATTTTCCTTGTGGGAATAAGTCTTGCTATCAACATTTAAATAAAATATAAATATAACTGGCTTAGCTTTGTTTGCAGAAAGTGTCATTGTGAATATACCAAAGATTCTCTTGTATACTTGAGTGTACTACATTTTGACAACTTCCTGAGGGATATATGCTAATTTTTTTTTACCACATTCAGATTGTAAAGTTACAGGGTTTTGTAATTTTATTATCTGAGTGATACTCAAAAGGAGTCTCTAGTAGGTTACTGTAGGACCCATAATATGGCACCTGTCAGGCCATTATAGACATATGTATATGTGTACGCATATGTATGGACATATGTCACAGTTGCTCTGATACTGTGAGAAGAGCAACTTAAATTTTTGTAAAAAGAAAATTCCTAAAGGAAATCAAGCAGAATTCAGTCAGGAAAAGTTTCTTCCAACAGGAATTGAAGAAGGGCATGTTGCCATTTTCTTTGTACATGTTGAGAGATTTTTTTTTTCTTCTTGCCTTTCCTTCTCCCTTCCCATCTTATACTTAAGAATGCTTTTGTCCTATATGACACAAGTCAAGAGTGGAATTGAACTTTATTTTGACCTCCAATTTGGGGCTTCCTAAAACATTTTATTCTTTTCAATTAAGTTCTTAGATTGTATATTGACCTTTTGCTTCTTGTTGTTGTTCATTCTCTTAATCCTTATCCTGGGAGTCTTGTAATATTTGTATGATTGAGGGTTCATGGCTCATGTGAGTCTAGTGCAGTAATATCCAGAGTCTCCATTAAGCACCATACTGACAAGTATTAAAGAGCGTGTAACTCTCAGAACCTCTTTAAGACTCGTGCTTTGCTTTTTTTGGTGTTCTTGTACTTAACACTCAAGTTTTTTTTTTTTTTAAATTTTTATTAGTGGAAACACCATGAGGTACAGTTGCAAACTTACAAATTTTTGTGCTTGGGTTTCAGTTATACAGTGATCGAGTACCCATCCCTCCACCAGTGCCCATTTTTTACCACAATGATCCCAGTATCCCCCACCCCATCCCACCCTGCCTCTGTGGCGGGGCATTCCCTTTTGTTTACTCTCTCCTTTTGGGTGCTGTGGTTTGCAAAAGAGGCATTGAGTGGCAGTCATGTTCGGTTTATAGTCTACTTTCAGCATGCATCTCCCATCCTGGGAGGATCCTCCCAACACCCTTTACTTGGTATTCCCTTCTCTATTTCTTGTTTCTTCATATTTCTTCAAAATTTTGAATCTGTTAGTTTTTTTTACATACTTTATTCTTAGTTTATTTTAATATATTCTTCCTCTAACTCAAAATTTCAAAATGTAACTTTATATAATAGCGTATTTGTTTTTTCATATGCATGAAGGTGCCCTAATATCCAATTCCTCTTGGTCACTGAGATTTGATTTGATTGTCTGGTTTTTCTTTTGAGTACTGAAGCTGAACTTACTTTTTAATTTATCTACAGGTTGTATTTTTTTAACAAGTTATCTCCACAGCCTTTATCCATTCTCCTAATCTATTACTACAAATTATTTAATGCTGTTTATCAGAGTGTTAGCAATAATCTTGATTCTTACTGAAGTTACAAAACTTATTGAATGTGACACTAATACTGATGAATATTGATTCTTCCTGAAGTTACAAAACTTATTGAACGTGACACTAATACTGATGAATATGAAAGCTGCAGGTTCTAATCAATATGGGTAGTTTCCATTTGCTTTATGAACAGTACTATTTCAAACAAATGTAACACAAAGTGTGCTTAATTTCTTTTTCAGCATCCCACTAGGTTATTAAACTATAGAAAATTTACATTTTTAGTGGGTTTTAAAAAACTTTAAAAGAATTTTTTTTCTTAACCCAACACTACCAAGTGCATTGGACCTGAACTATAATAATTAAACTTAAAAATATATCTGCCGGAAAGTCAAGAAGGAACCTTAGATGATTGGTGGAGGAATGAGGTGGTGGGATTGGAAGTGGGAACATTGAATACCTGAAATGTTATTGTAAACACTTTATAAATTACTGTGGCTAACAATTTTAAAATAAAAAAAGGCTTCTGCACAGTAAAAACAGAAAGAGGAAACTATATTCCCCAAATGTGTGGGTTTAAAAAAAAAGGAAAAGTTATGAGTAGTTACCTTGGGGTAGAATGAGCTCCATTTGCCATGTTTTGTGAAACAGACAAAGGAAGTAGAGGGAACACCCATTCTCCCAGACAGTGGGGGTTCCTGGGTGACATTTTAAGCCCTTCACATTTTCCTATGCTTCTTTTCACTTGAACTTTTAAATGATGAATTGTCCTATAATTTCCCATGTTACATTCAGAGTGTCTTTTAGATTGATTAGCTAAGGGCTTTTTATTTTTCTAACAGTGGGTATGTTTTACAGTCATAATAAAAGGTTGTTTTAAAACCCATTTGATGACATTGCCGCTTAATTTTATTATGTTCACTATTTATTTTTTATTTGATGGTAGGTCCTGGCCTCACTTTTCTTGGCATATTATGTATGTGCTTGGTAAATTTCCCTCCAGTGGGATTGTAGTCCTTATTTTACAGGGAAGGCCATGGGAGCCTAAGAATTGGCTTCAGTGAAGCCTATGTACATGAAGGTCATTAAAGATTTGGTTGAGGGGCTGGGGCAATAGCACAGTGGTAGGGCGTTTGCCTTGCATGTGATCAACCCGGGTTCAATTCCCAGCATCCCATATGGTCCCCTAAGCACCGCCAGGAGTAATTCCTGACTGCAGAGTCAGGAGTAACCCCTGTGCATTGCCAGGTGTAACCCAAAAAGAAAAAAAATGATTTAGTCAGAGTTGAACAATTTATGGAGCTTGATAGTGTTGTTAGAACCTGGAACTGAACCTTGGGTTTCTTATTTCGTACCTGAATTTTTAGTATTCTCACCGTTTTTTCATCATCTTTGGTGGCTTGAGCCACATTCTCTGAATGGCCCAGAAACCCGTTTTTTTCGGGCCTCTTCCTCACCACATACCCTTCTTTAGTCCCTACACTTCATGCTGTGCAGCTAACACCAGGCAGAGCAGAACAATTTGCTCATACCCTACATCTCCAGGCTGCCGCCTTCTGTATGTTGCCATCAGGGCCATCTTTCTGATACAGGTGCCTGTACTTCAGATATTTACCTGTTCTTCATCCACCTGCAATCCAGACAGACTGGCTGGCAAGCTGGAATCCCATCCTTTTCATGGCCTTCATGCCTTTTCCTGCTCTGCACTGAGCTAAGCAGCTCCTTGTAGCTCCATGAATGCCCTCCTGACTCCCGGCACTGTCCACTCCCTATGAAATGCTCCTGCCCTCTTTGTCCTGTTGTGAGTTGCCAGATGCAATTCATTTGCTTCTTCCTTTACTCCTGTCTCATTCCCTTCATCATCTGTTTTTTTTCTTTAGCTCTAGATACACCCTAATTATGCAGGCTGAAGGAACCTGAGAGATAGTAGAGGGGTTAAGGCATCTCCCTTGCATGTGACTGTCTCCAGTTCTATTACCAGCACCATATATGGTCTTCTGAGCACTTTCAGGAGGACCCTTGAGCACAGAACCAGGAGTAAGCCCTGAGCACCGCTGGGTGTGGTCTCCAAACCTAAAACTACCACCAGTCAACAACAAAACATGACTGGTTTGAACACAGCAGCACACATATTTCACATGTCTGCCTGTAGTATTAGAGTAGAACCCCAGAGGACAGAGGCTCTGTCTGCCATCTGCACTGCATCTGTTGTGCATGTGCTGTATGTCAGACACCATGAGAGCAGAATTCGAAGGAGCTGGAGAAGGGGATAGTGCTCTTGCCTGGACGGAACTGATGGTCGAATCGGAGAGAGGAGGAGGGAACAATTCTTAGTCCGATGGTACTTTGTACTAGTCGACCTCTGTAAGTTGCAGAGGCTACGTAGGGAGCAGGAGTCCCATCCTGCCTGAGCACTGAGCAGGGTTATCAAGCATAGAAGTCTGTTCCTTCTTCCTGCCCCCGCACCTGATCATCTATATCATCTATATTTGCCTGACTCAAAGCTGATTGTGTTGTGTGGATACTAGAGAAGAGGGACAGAGGGAAGGTGAGGCCACTCAGAAAGGAAATTCATAATATCAAGCCCCAAAGATGCTCCAAGAATCATTGGGTTAAGTGGGTCGGCAGGCTAGGGGAGAGCTAAGGCTAAGGAGGTGTGCTAAGCATCATCATTTCCCCCACTGTTAATGTGAGTCACAGGGAATTTACATCCCTTTTAGGCATAATCAGCCTCTTCTGGAACAGGCGAATAGGCAGGATGCTATAGTTGAAGCCTGGCTGAGAAACCTTTGAAAATGGTCCAAGATCAGTTTAGCATGACTTGACCATTCCGTTCCCCAGATGCAAAAGGGGCGTACTTGGGACCTCCTGCCCCTCGTCTCACGACTGGTAACTGTGGCCTCAGGAGGAAGGTGGAGGCGCTTTGCTTCTCTGCTCACTGTGCCCTTCTCTGCGGGCAGGAAGCAGGAGCTGAATGATTTATAGCTGACCTTTCAGAGGAGCTGGCGGAAGGCAGCGCAGGCCGTGCACTGTTGACTCCGGCTCTCTCTGGGTGCTGGAAGCGGTGGCTGCCCGTCGTCATCCATCATCATCCTAACTTACTTGGCCGTGGCTCCTCCAGCTGGAGGGGGTGTGTGCTCAGACACTTTGTTCCCAGTATTTGGGACAGAGGGAGGAGGGTGAATCCTTGAGAATCTGTTTTAGTGCTAAATTGAACTTTGTAAATTTTCCGAAGAAGTGTCTCTCTCCACTTATATTAACTGCTTTGCACGTAGATATCATCTGAGAACTTAGCACCTGGGGTTCTTTTTGACCTTACTTGAAGAGTGTGAAAGCTTGTTATGATGCATGACAGCCTTGGCATTAAGGTCCTCTTGAGGCCAGAAATTGACCATAGGGTAAATCAGTTTCATATTCTACAAAAAAAGGAGTTGTACCTTTTTTTAAAAATAATTTTTCTAAAAACTTTATTGAATCACCATGAGATAGTTACAAGCTTTCATGTTTGGGTTACAATCACACAATGATCAAATACCCATCCCTCCACCAGTGCACATTCCCTACCACCAGTATCCCCGGTATACCCCCTTTTTCCCACCCTCCCCCTGCCTCCATGGCAGACAATATTCCCCATACTCTCTCTCTACTTTTGGGCATTATGGTTTGCAATACACATCCTGAAAGGTTGTCATGTTTGGTCCTTTATCTACTGTCAGCACACATCTCCCATCCCAACTGGTTCTTCCAGCCATCATTTTCTTAGTGATCCCTTCTCTATTCCAGCTGCCTTCTCCCTTTTGCTCATGAGACAGGCTTTTAACTATGGAGCAGTCTTCCTCAACAGTGTATCTACTGCCCTTAGGTGTCAGCTCATATTATGTTATTTTATACTACACAAATGAGTGCAGTTCTTCTATGTCTGTCCCTCTCTTTCTGACTCATTTCACTTAGCATGATACTCTCCATGTCTATCCATTTGTAAGCAAAGTTCATGACTTCATCTCTCCTGACAGCTGCATAGTATTCCATTGTGTAGGTAGATGTACCAAAGTTTCTATAACCAGTCATCTGTTCAAGGGCACTTGGGTTGTTTTCAGATTTTGACTGTTGTGAACAGTGCTGCAATGAACATATAGGTACAGATGTCATTTCTACTGTGCTTTTTTGCATCCTCAGGATATATTCCCAGAAGTGGTATTGTGTGGTCATATGGAAGCTCAATTTCTAGTTTTTGAAGGACTGTCCATATTGTTTTCCAGCAAGGCTGAACTAGTGGGCATTCCCACCAACAGTGAAAGAGCGTCCTTTTCCCCACATCCCCGCCAGCGCTGGTTGCTTTTGTTCTTTTGAATGTGTGCCAGTCTCTGTGGTGTGAGCTGATATCTCTTTGTTGTTTTGATTTGCATCTCCCTGATGACTAGCAATGTTGTACCTTTTAACTTTTGTTTTATTTGCTAAGCTTCACAGATTTTTCACAGGCATAGTTAGATTTTTATGTTCGGTTTAATGTTTTTGTTTTGGGGTGGCAAAGGGTGCTTCCTGGTGATACTCCTGCTGAATTGGTGATTCCAAGATGGCTCAATGCTAAGGCCCAGTGATGTGGCTGTCCCCTGTCTCGGCAGGTAGGCGCCACCATGGCTGTTCGTGGTGCTCAGGGCACCTCTAGGGCTCTGCCCAACAGTGTTCAGGGGCCAGGAGGTGCTGGGGGTTTAACTCAGGGGCTTTTGCATGTGTGTGAGGTATGTGCAACAGCCCACCTGAGCACTCTCTGACTCCACCACCGATGGAACTTGCTGTGTGTTTCTCTTGCTGCCCTCCCTAGTTCTAATATTTTGCCCGAGCCTGGGCTGCTCCAGTCTGTTTGCCCAACTCTGCTCCCTTCAGCCCTGTCTGTGTCAGAGATGTCCTGCATCCCTGCTGTAGGGGTCTGCCCGAAGCTGGCCCCTGTGCGTAGCTTCGTAACCCCAATACTCCCCCACACTTCCTCGACCCTTGGGCCCCAGGGTGTCCCTTTATTCACTCTGCCCCTGAGAAGCTTGCCAGTCTGAACTTACATGCTAGCAGCCCTGCTTCTCATAAATGGGAGCACCACTTCCTTCATAAATTAATGTAGCAGAAAACCCAGAATCGGATGAACAAAAGCTTTCCCTCCACGTTTCCAGAGGCTGAGAGGTAGTTAGCTACCAACACTCTGCAAAACTTTTGTTGTGCTTTGTAGTTTATATATTTATGACATAGGCAATTAATGAGAAAGGAAATTTATTTTAATTTAATTTTATTTCCTTTCTGGTTTAACAGTGCTCAGAGGACCATAGAGTGCCAAGGAATGAACCCAGGTTAGCATGAGGAAAGTAGCGCTTTGCCCACTGCACTATTTCTCTGGCCCGATAAATGAAGTTTGAAAAGAATATTTCCTCCAATATCAACACATTTTTCTCTATATGATTCAATGTGGCATATAAAATAAACATGCTGTCATTGATTTCATTTGCCACTTTCTGATTATGGAGGGCTGATATTGTGAATTGTAGTTCATTGGTGAATCTAATGTTATGCCTAGATAGACATCAACACACAATAGGCTGGTTAACATTTTTAGGATATTGCTTTCTTTGTAAAAATAATCCAAAAAAAAAATCCAGGGGCTCGAGCAACAATAAGCAGGTAGGGCACTCGCCTTGCATGTGGCTGGCCTAGGATTGATCCCCAGGACCCTATATGGTCCCCCGAACCCCACTTGGAGTGATTCCCTGCAAAGAACCAGTAGTAAGTCCCATGCTTTGCTCACTGTGACCCATAATTTTAAAAAAATCCATAATCATTTTTACTTTCAACAAATTGCTTATGTGTTCTCAAGATTATATAGTTTGCTTTTTTCCCCTCCTTTTCTGTTCAATCTTTAGCTTTTTAGATCATAACTGAAAGTCATCCTTATTTGTAGGAATGTTGAATCAACCTTAACACTTTGCTCTAAACACAGAAGTTTCAGGATTTATAAATCTTTTCCCCCCAAAATGTCCAAGTAGAAGCGAAAAGTGATTGTGTCTCTGGAAGGCAGGATCTATATCTTATCGCTCTTTGATTCTTGTAGAAAATGAAAGTGTTTGAAATATTGAAATGTATTTGCTTAATTTGTACTAGTTGGAATGGATGATTTTTTTCAAACATCAAGTCGTATTATAAAGTTAAAAAAAGTTACAATTTTTTTTTCCTTTTTAGAAGATTTCACCATTTTATAGGGGCCAAGTCTTGTGATGCCTAAGATCAACTTTTGGGCCTAAGACACCTGACTCAGTATGAGTATGTCTCTGACAAATGTGGCCTCCATTTAAAAAAATGAGGGAATAATGAAAGTGAGGGCTAGCAGTTTGTCACCCTGAGGATGTGAAGTAGTTTCTTTGCCAGATTCCTTTATTGGAATATAAAGGACTGAGATAGTGGCTGAATATTAAGGTTATAGATCAAATTAGGCCATGCTAATAAGATGTAGTAAACCACATAATAAGCATTATATAGAGATGAATTGAGGATTCTTTGCCCATCAGCATTTAACACTGACTATTTTGGTTAATAAATTAACCATTTATAACCCTATTAATCCTTTTTTGTTTGTTTTACTTTGGGAGAAATTTGCCATGTTTGCAATTTGAGTGTAAATTTAGGACTTACTCTTGAGAAGGAAAGCAACATAAAGCAGATAAATTCAAAGAGTTATACAAGAGCGAAGTGCCGGCCATATAGGAACAAACTAATTTGGAGTCATATTAGAAAGGTTCACAGAACACATGGAAAAAAGTTGGATTTAAGTGGTGCTGGTGTATTTACATTTCTTTCAGTAAAATAACAAAACTATGTCCTAGTTAACATACAGAGAGTTTGATTCAGTAGTAAATTACATGTCTTTTGCTAAGTGGGCATTCAGGATAGTTAAAGGAAATAAGTAAATATGACATTTAAGCTCTAGGAAGAACAGATGCAATGTTCGTTTGTTCACAAAACAAATTAATCATTTGTTTAATTTTACTTGAGTTTCAGACCATTCTTCAACATTCTTGATTACTAATATAGGAAAACTGCATTTTTGAATGCTTTGTTTCATGTGCTTTTTTTCCCCTTTCTCTTTCTAGCGTATATAAAAGGTGGGTGGATCCTTAGGAAAGCCTGGAAGATTTATAATAAATGCTATCTGGACATCAATGCCCTCCAGGAGCTGTATCAGAAGAAACTAACGGAAGAGCCCTTGACATCTGATGCTGCAAATGATAATCACATTGTGGCTGAAGGGGTGTCTGAGGAGTCTCTAAACAGACTGAAAGGTGCTGTTAGCTTTGGATATGGCCTTTTTCACCTTTGCATATCCATGGTGCCCCCAAACCTGCTCAAAATCATCAACCTGCTGGGTTTTCCTGGAGACCGCCTACAGGGGCTTTCTTCACTGATGTATGCAAGCGAAAGTAAGGACATGAAGGCCCCTTTAGCTACGTGAGTAGCTATATTGCAATGCTTTGCTAGATATTGTAGTGTTGAAAGTAAGTAAACGGCAGTCAAAACCTGCAGGTAAAATGCTTGTTGGTTGATAAGATGCTTTATGTCTTTCCAAGGACAGTGGCTTTGGTGATATTTATAAGCTGACTTTAGAGAATAGGGCACAATTCTTAAGCCCCAGAGTCTTGAATTTTAAACAGGCTCATGTTTTTCCATCTCATAAATTTACATAAGCAGTTTTTATGACACAGTCACTAGGATTCATGATCCCAATTTGGGGACTTAAGGGATACAAATTGGACAAGCCATTTTGCTGACTCTGAAATTGTTTTTCTTACAGAGATTGCTCATTTGATGATAAATTTTCTTAGTTTTATTTGTCTGTTGGTTTCTCTTTTTTTTTGTGGCTTGGATGTTTAGTGCCATTCAACTACATTGGATCATGTCTTGTTAAGTCAAAAAATAAATAATTCAACAGGAGAGTGTGGGAAAGCTGATGTAACTATCCAGAGTAATAATTTACCCACCTCTTCAGTTAAAAATGATGTAATTTTTCTTTCAATCTGTTAATTGCAATTTGAGTTATTTTACCAGACACAAATGTCCTTTGATATTATACCATTTGTCAAATTCATTTTGAATGTTGACTAGCAACCATAATGAGCTCAGTTTCTATTAAATGTCAATACTGAGGAATCTGGATATTAACTCTTAAGAGGTTGATAACTTTAAAATAATTTTTCATTAAAATATTTGTACCTACCCAAACTCATTAAGTGATACAAACAGTGGTTCATTAATTCAAGTTAACAGATTTGTGGTTTGTGATAATTCATCTGTTTATAGCAATATTATTTCCTGAGAAAGGAATTAATTGAATTAATGATGTAGATTTGTCTGCTGTCCAGTAGAGAATTAACTTTATGAGCATGATAGAAGTACACTGTGCCTAGATATATCTGATGTGGTAAACTTTTCTACTCATTAAGGCAGGTCTCAGTGAACCTGTTTTGTTTACCTAGCTTAATGTGCCATTTTTCTTAAAAGGGATCAATTTGAAGTAAGGGAATTTAAGTACCTATTTATTTTTAAAATCTAACATCTTCAAAGAGCAAAGAGAAGTCCTCTTTACCTGTGCCTTCTATATTTGTTTGGATTTTGCAGCTTATATCCTAACTTTGTAGACATGAAAGAGTAACATTTTCCTTTTGCAAAAAAATGTTTTAATTGTGAGGCGGCACTAACTTCTTGGTAATGAGTCACTGTTTTGATTTACACTGATGAGGAAGGTGCAGAATTCAAGGTTTTCAACAGTCATACCATCAGCAGTCATTCTAGAAACTTCAGAAGAATTAAATATTTCCATGACCTTATTCTCCTCTCACCAGATGAGAGCCTGCAGATTCCTATGTTGTGCAAGTTTGCAGTTTTCCAAATACTGCTAAAATGAAAATGGGGACAGATAGTCTGATTTGTCTTCAGACATTACATAATTTGGAAAGTAGGATGTATTGTAAGAGCAAATATTAATTTTTTAAGAAATAGGAACAGTATAAGAAAAGTTTTCTGGTTAATGTTGGGTCACTATTTCTCTCCTCTCTTCTGTAGATTAGCTCTGCTCTGGTACCACACTGTGGTCCGCCCGTTTTTTGCCTTGGATGGCAGTGATAACAAAGCAGGCTTGGATGAAGCGAAGGAAATTCTCCTCAAAAAAGAAGCTGCTTATCCAAATTCTTCCCTCTTTATGTTTTTCAAGGGACGCATACAACGATTAGAGGTATTGTGCCTTCCCTTTCTTAAAAATGAAGCCTTCTGTTGATTAAATCTATGATTCCGCCCCCCCCCCCCCGGAGGGACTGGTATCAAAATGAGCCCAAATGTCATAGGGCTACAGAACATCTTGTTCTCGTGCCTTCCATCTCTCCGTTGCTAGAGAAGATTTTCCCAGGAACCTGGGATGCTATTCAGTTACCTTCTGTTCTGGCAGCCGTGGGCGAAACAGCAGGGAGATTCCTTTTGGGTAATAAGGCAAGACTGGGGTACTCTAAGCCGGAGACATGGGAGCATTATTAAGTCCCTTAGTAAAAGAAAATGAAGTATTTATTTTTCTACTGTGGAGTTAATCGTCTGTTTCTTGTTTCCTCTTGGCTAACAAATGGCTTATCCATGCATGTTATTGTCTAAAATGTCAAGGACAGTATCGGCTTTGAAATGGTGGTCACTCTTAGTGCTTTCTAATGTGTTTCCTTTGGCCTGGTACTATGCTGGTAGCTTTTTTCTCAGAACAACCCCGTGACCAGAGAAACGGATCTGGGAGGGTTCGCCCAGAGAGCGGGGCCAGGTGCCCTTGTTCCAAAAAGAACATGCCTGGCATTTGGGGAATTGCTGCTGCTTTGTAGACTTGTTTTCTCTGCCTGTTTCAAAGCATAAATCAGTGTTTGAAGAATAATGAAAACATAAGAAACAAAGCATGCCGGTGAACGTTATGCCGGGAGCGCGCCCCAGTTCTTACCAACAACTCCTGCGAGTTTCCACACACGATGCTAACAGCTCCAGACCTCTGTTCCTTACGTGATACCTCAGCCTGGTGCTGGATCTAAGCTGTCTGACTCCAGGCTTTGCAAGCTTTTCCCCCTCAGCCTTTTCAAAAGCACGGGATGTATTTTTTGTTGGCATAGAGGGCATACCCCTTTCTCCATAAGCCCTTCCCTGCTTGGTGTGTGTCTCTAAATGTGAGAACTCTTTATCTTTATGAAGGTGACACTGGTGGATTGTACTAGTCATTTATCGTTGCAGTGCGGCTCACCAGGATCTGAATTGTATAAACCTGCCTGTGATTCTTCTCTGGGAACTGTTTTTGTTCATACTCAATCTCATGAATCTTCAGCTAAATTTTGCTCCTTTTTTGGGGGGAGAGGGGGTCACACCCGGCCATGCACAGGGGTTACTCCTGGCTCTTGCACTCAGGAATTACTCTTGGCAGTGCTCGGGGGACCATATGGGATGCTGGGAATCAAACCCAGGTCAGCCTCGTGCAAGGCAAATGCCCTACCCACTGTGCTATCACTCCAGCCCCTCCTTTTTATTTTCTTATAAACATCGATTCTGATCAGTTTCTTGTGCAATCTGATCTGTCAGTATTCTTGCCCAGGATTTTAATCCCACATGTAGTGAGGAATGATCAAGCTGTTTCTTTATGCTCTTGGATTCATGCAAAAGAAAATAGTGAAAAAACAAATTGATAATACCGTGTTCAGTGATTTTTTTTTTCTTTTTCAGCAGTGAGGCCCTTCCAGGTTGGTGCTCCAGAGGGTCATTGTCTGTGATTGACTAATCAGGCTAGTGGTTTGATGCTTGGTTCCAAGCATGTAGCACTGCTCTGACCCTGAGGTTTCAAAGATCAGGGTCAGCCCAGCAGTGATCAGAGGTCTCCTGGTCATTTTGGGCAATACTTGGGGGCTTTTATGGCTGCATCCAGCAATTCTGGGATAACCATTCAGTGCTGGGGATCAAACCAGGTGTGGCCACATACAAAGCATAAGCCCTAATCCACATACTATCTCTCGGGCCTCAATCATCATTTTTTAAAAAATTTTTTTATTAGTGAAATACCATGAGGTACAGTTATAGACTTATAAATTTTTGTGCTTGGGTTTCAGTTATACAATGATCAACTACCCATCCCTCCACCAGTGCCCATCCTCCACCACCATGGGTCCCAGTATCCCTCCCACCCCTTGCCCCTCCCCCCCCCCCCCCGCCTCTGTGGCAGGGCATTCCCCCTTGTTCTCTCTCTCTTCTTTTGGGTACTGTGTTTTGCAAGAGAGGCATTGAGTGGCAATCATGTTTGGTCTATAGTCTACTTTCAGCATGCTTTTCCCACCCTGGGAGGATCCTCACAACACCCTTTATTTGGTGCTCTCTTGTCTATCTGAAAGTTTGGTACAGGAAAAGTAGGTTTTTTATTTTTTATGTCAATGCCTTAATGGGCAAGTATTATATTCTTTGAGCAAGTCTGAACATGCTAAGCATGCTACAATAAACAGATTCACCAGCAAGACAGTCTGTGTGCAGCCTGGCAAGGCCTGATCAGAATTCTCCCTTCTTTCCGCTGATACCTGGGGCCTCTCAGTTTGGGTACAAGTCTGGATTTATATTTTATTATGCTTGCTGTTTTAATTTATTTTTTAAAATCAAAAGTGTATAACTTTTAGCTAAAGTAATAACTTTCCCTCAAAAAACGACACACATTTTGAGTTTGTGCCACAGTTTATTCCTATTAGAGAATGAATGTTCAAAGTAAGTGGTCATTCTTTGATGTTGAGATGATTCTAGAAATGAAGAATCCATAGCTCCATCAAACGGTTCTTACAAATATGGTTGGGGCATTCAACATCATAGCTCTTGGCAGGCACTCAGTACCTTTCATGGTAGAAAGTCAAGATCTGAAGTGGGTGGCGGGTGGTGGGGAGGTGGGTGGTGTTGATGCTGTTGTTTGGGGACTTGAGCTCTGTACCAGGAAACTGATTCTGGGTTGAAGTGATAAAAGACTAAATAAAAGATCTATTCCTGTTCTGTTTAGTGAGCTGTTGCCTCAGGGCCTAGCGGGCTGTGGTATGTTTTGTTTGACTCTTCCCAAAGGCCCTGAGGATGAAATGATTTTAGAACTAACTTGAAATACTGTTGGTTTTAACTTCAAAGTGTCCCAGCACCAGCATCTCATTAATACTCCCAAGTAACTGTAGGAAGTTATTGATGGTGGCATCCTTTACTTGTAGATAAGGAACTCTGGCTGAAGACAAATGTGGGTCTTATCAGGACTACAGAAAGCCTCAAAGGTGATGTCACACAGAGCCTCAAATGGTTTTCTTTTTTCTTTCCTTTTTTTTTTTTTTTGCACCACACCTGGCTACACTCAGGGATGACTCTTGGAAGTGCTCAGAGGACCGTATGTGGTGCTGATTTTGGACCGGGGCTCACTCATGTGCAATGCAAAACACACTTTAACCTTTATACTATCTCTCTGGCCCCTGATTTTATTTCTTAAGAATTTTTTAAGTATGGGGGAACAAACCTACAATTTAATAATGGATTTTATTTCTCTTTAATCTTTTGTATCTTTTAATCCTTTTTTATTCATCTATTTGTCTCTATGTGCTTGAGTGGAAGTTGATAAACATTTTAACATAGTTTCTATTATACAAGGATTTTGTGGGAACTGTCTTTTAAGCTTAGTCATACTTTTGAACATCCTGACTTTCGGCAATTTAAATCTTGGGTTTATTTACTTTTATTGGTTTCTTTTTGGGCCGCACTTGGGTGAGTGCTTGGAAGTCTTTCCTGGTCTTTCTTGGGAGACTACAATGTGGAGATCGAACCCAGGCCTCTCATATTCTATGCATGCTCTTCATTCCTTTGCACTGCCTCTCAGGCCCTTGGTTTTGGCTTTTGAGACTAGAATTCTAGGTCTAAGACATGACCAAACCTTCCCATATATCAGATTAATGAATACGTGCATCTGTTGGATAATCTTTGGATCATGACAGTGATGTCATTCCCTCATTAAGAAAGGAAAATGCTTAATCCAGGGTTCTCTGTTTTACCAAAGCTAGTCACAGCCCCCCAAAAAAAACAAAAACAGAGAAACTGTCTTAGAGGTTGAAATGAAGGGACAGTCTCTTAAGGAGGTCACCAAATCTGGTCTTTAAATTCTGTTGTGCTGGCTAAATAAATACATTCAATTTGAATGAAGTAGAAAGTTGAAAAAGAAAACTGTTGGGCTGAAAGGAAATCTGTGCTTGTTGGGCAGAGGAGCAGACCGCCCCAGCTCACGCTGGGAGAATCTTCAGTAATGTGCTGTGATGCTTTCTTAGAACCCCAACAATCCTGGTGCTAACTCATGAGCACTGCCAGAAAGCTTGAGGTTGGCCCTTGGGAACCGTTGAAGAGGTGCCAGTGAACTCAGCGCGTGTGTGCACACTCTCATGCCACCAGCTTATTTGATTGAAGCTGCCGTCTTCATTCTTTCTGAAGAACCCAGCCTTCTCTCTCTGAGCCTCTGCTCTCACACTTCCCTTCCTGGCTGGACTCTGCTGCTTCCTCCCTCTGCAGCCTCTGCAGGGGCAACTTTGATGGGGAGGGCCTTACTTCCCTGTAGTGTGTTTCTTCTCTCTCCTCTGTCCAGACAGGGCTTCTGCTCGTTTCCTGCTTTCATTCATATTCTGAGTGGAAAACCTTCAACCTGCATGTGTGTGTGTGTGTATGTGTGTGTTTTCTGTTTGTTCATCCATTCAGGTATATTAATTGCCTTTTGAAAAATGGGCTGTGATGTTTTTCCTCTGTACGCTTTTGTTAACGAAGGATTACTTTTCACTGGTGCTTCCCTGCATAAGTGCCATGTTGATGCTGGTTTTTGAGCCCACCTTTTCATATTTGTGGTAGGAAAGAAACGTGGAGGTTAATCCCTTTTCTGATTCATTGACCTGGAAGTCTTGGGGGTAGGGGAGGTTCATGGAGAGTTGGGGGCTGGTGCCTAAGTGCTAAGCCTAAGGAGGGCCCCCACCACTGCTGTCTTCTCTGGAGTGTGCCGACACTGGGTATCTCTGCCCCTGCTGACGGGCAAGCCTGCCTCCTGCTTGTTAGCATGACGTCATGTTGCTATTTATAGGAGCAGGAAGGAGCCAGTGCAAGAGGAGAATTCATTCCCTGGAGTTCTGTTAATTGTAGTCTTCTCTTCCTCCACTCCACAAGCTTCTTTCTTACATAGGCTCCATAAAA